ATTCAATACGTGCCCTCTTTAATACCCATCACCAGGCTAACCCATCCTCCCATCCCCCTCCCCTCTAGAACTCTCAGTTTGTTTCTCAGAGTCCGTAGTCTCTCATGGTTCGTCTTCCCCTCCAATTCCCCGCCTTCATTTTTCCCTTCCTACTATTTTCTTTTTTTTAACATATAATGTATTATTTGTTTCAGAGGTACAGGTCTGTGATTCAACAGTCTTAGACAATTCACAGTGCTCACCATAGCACATGCCCTCCCCAATGTCTATCACCCAGCCACCCCATGCCTCCCACCCCCCACCGCTCTTAAGGAAGTTTCTACCCTCCCAAGAGCTTGCTTGGGCTTGTGGCAGACAGACTTGTAAATGTTACTGTAATACAGAGAGGTGAAATGAGAAAAGGTACAGTCATGAGAAAGCTGGGGGAGTGATTATTAGTTCAGTTCTGCTTGGGTAGAGATGGTACCAGGTAAGAAAAGGCTGTGGAGAAGTGGAAGCTCTCATAAAATCCTTCTAGACATGATGGAAAATGTAGGCTAGATAATATTATAATTAGAGTTGGAGTCTTCACCAAATACTGCTGATTTAATGGATATCAATATGCTGGAAGGGAGGGAATGTGGTCTTCTCAGGACTTTATCATCAGCCCTGTCATTTTCATTCCTTTACCATAGTGTTAGGTCTTTGTTACTTCATTCCTTTACCAGTGACTTGAGGAATTCAAATGGTGTGCATATCAAACATGTGGATGACACAACAGGATGGGATTACAAATACACTGATAGAATCTAATTCAGAATTCCCTTAACAGATCGGAACATTGAGGAATCAAACAAAATGAAAAAGAAATGTACAGAACGGGGGAGATATTCATTGAATAATTGCTTAATATGTGCATGCAATGAACCAGGCACTGTGGTGAACAAGACACATCTGGGTGTTGTCCTCATAGAGCTTATAGTCTAGTTGGGGAGGCAGTTGTTAAATAGACATTGTAGAATAAAGAATGATGAGTAATACAGGGAAAGTACAGAGGACAATGAAAAAATGTACAGGGGTGCTTACTCGATTTAGGCTTTACAGAAGTGATGCTAATCAGAGCTTTGAATTATGAGCATGATCTTGTCAAGATAGGAGCAGTATTTGAACAAAAATGCAAAGATAGAGCAGGGAACAGTAGATTTTTTCTGTTAGAAGGCTAGATGGTAAGTATTTTAGGCTTTGTAGGCCATGTTGTCTCTGTCGAGACTACTCAACCTTGCCAGTGTAGTGTGAAAGTAGCCGTAGACAGTGGATAAACAAATGAACGGAGTTGTGTGCTAATGAAAGTTTATTTACAGAAACAGGTATTGGGTTGGATGCGAGCCATGGGCTATGGTTTGCTGGCCCCTATTTAGAGCTTGTCATGTTTGAGGACCTTAAGTAGAACTGTAGGGTTTGAGCAGGGGTTCTACCCTAACAGAAGTACCCAGGGTGCTTTTCCAAAGTAGACATCCTTGATTGTTTCCACCCTGAGACTCTGATTTAGTAACTCTAGGGTGACATCCAGAATCTCCTTTTTTAATATAATTATTCTGATATACAACAAGGGTTGAGAACCACTGGGCTAGCCAGTAGCATGATAGGAGATGAGGTCTTGAAATGTAGTCAGGGACCAGATGGTGAAAAAAGTAGGCCTTCAAAAACATACTGATTGATTTCAGTATCTGAATAAAATTACGTTTTTAAGTACATAGAGGGATTTCAGAGCTGTAGAGTTTAGTGATTTTCTGATATTCTTTCTTCTTTTTCTCACCTTTATAACTTGTCTGACTTATCATATAATATATAAAAATTTGTTTCAAATTAATAGTATTTATATTACTATTAATAATGAGACTACTGGATGAAATTTGAAATAATTTTAGTTCTTTTTGCCTCTGGACTAAATCCTACTAAAACTGTACAGTGCATATACTATATTTTATATATATTTTGATATATTGGTTTCAGTTTCTTTTCATGCTTTAGAGGTTGCTTTTAAAAATTTAATTTCATTCCTAGAATATGTAAAGCATTTACCTGATTCCAAATTCTAAACTATAGAAATCTTGCTTCCATCCTTGTCTCCTTCTTTTCTCTTCTTTGTCTGTAGGTAGTCATTTTTATTGCTTCTTGTTTTTCCCATCTAGTGTTTCCTTTCTTTAAACTTAGTAAGCATTGTTTGGGGCATCTGGGTGGCTCAGTCAGTTAAATGTCTGCCTTCGGCTCGGGTCATGATCCTGTTGTCCTGGGATCGAATTCCACATCGGGCTCCCCCTGCTTTGTGGGGAGCCTGCTTCTCCCTCTCCTGCTGCTGCTCCCCCTGATTGTGCTCTCTCTCTGTCAAATAAATAAAAATCTTTAAAAAATAAATAAACTTAGTAAGCATTGTTTTGTAATCTGTGTCTGATAATTCCAGTATCAGAAGTTTCTGTGTGTATCTGTTGCCTCTTTTTTCTGCTGCTGCTTCCTCATGTTGCTTGATTTCTTTGTGTGTCTGGTTATCTTTGGCCATGTGCTGGATACCTGGAATATTATTTGTAGAAGGAATCAGAAGATTAGAGTGAGATCTTCCTACAGAGAGAACTTTCATTTGCTTTCTACAGGTACCTAGGAGTGCTCTTTGTCTGGGACTACCCTAATCCAAGTTCTTTGCCTAAGGTTCCTTTGATCATAGGTGGATAGACTGCCAGCCTGTGAGAAGGCTAATTTACTTCTGGTGAACTCTTACCTTGAAGGTATAGCCTTTTGG